TTACGTACCCGGTACACTAAGGATCCCAAAATATTAACACAAAAATCTCTAACTCACAAAAACTAAACTAACCAGTGTTCTACAACCTTCTATTTATATTGTCTATTAAACTCTAATTAGCTATATATCATATTATGCAAAATGTAAATATAAGCTAATTCTATAAAATACCGTAATGATCGACAAAGTACAGTCGTCCCTCATTAATATCAACCCCGTTGATATCAACCTCTTGTTATTATCAACACATGCTATAGAACCAATTTCCATATATTAAAATTCCCCCGCATATATCAATTTTATAACAAACTCTCATAGATATCACTATCAACATAAATAAAAAATTTTTTATAAGTAAAATTCCCGCGGCAATATCCTTAACCAATAGAAATCCCCGAAATAAGTCATGTGATCGCCATTTTCAAGTGATGATCATCCAATAGTAAGTCTCATTTTAAAGTAACAGTGCACGTTTATTTTTTCAAAAATCGCTTATTTCACAAACACTTGCTTAATAAATTATCTTTTGTCTAAAAAAATCCCTTGAGCAATTTTACTATATTCCTGCTAACACTTAGCCTTATTATAAACTCTAATCACATAACTCTCAAAAAAGCTAATGCTAAATAAAACTTCCAATCTAATATACATAAACAGAATTATAAAATAGTTCTTTTTCATTACATTCTAACATACATTGTGCATTATGTTGTAGGAAATGTTAACTAGGGATGTAAAAAGTCTTGACACAACTTCAAAAGTTGAGTTTTTGTTAAATTCTCAGTCTCAAGCAGACTTGAAACTTCAACTCGCATCTGCATGTTTAGTTAGTATATTTAGATATAACATAAAAATGCATATTTATGCATGCTTTACATATATTCACATTTTTTAAATATACTAGATGCATATGCAGATGTGGATCAAAGTCCCAAGTTTTTTTGGGACTGAGCATTTAACAAAGACTCGACTTTTGGAGTCGAGTCAGAACCAGTGTTTAAAATTCAGAACGAAAATTACTTGCAACTATGCAAGTAAAAAAAATTTTTACTTGTATAATTACAAGTAAAAAAAGTTTTTTGTTTGTACAACTACAATTTTATAAAAATATATCTATATCATATCTGAAGTTATAATTTATCTAAAGTTGCAACTACAGATATCTAAAGTAGTATCTAACTAGAATTAAGCCTTTGAAATTAGATCTTTATATATATAATTCTAGTTAAGTGCTATTTTAGATATTTAAAGTTACAACTTTAGATAGGAGACATTTCAAATACAATATATATATTATACTAGGTAAATGCAAAACATTGTTTGTCTGAAATTTATTTAATTAGTAATTCACCACTTAACCAGAGAGAGCTCATAGTACAGTTTATATATAGAAATTAGTGTTTTTGAAATGTAAGCTGTTTTTATTTAAAACTTTTTTTTATACTAAGTTAATCACCTTTGGCCTCTAATTAAAGTTGTAGAGCTTATCAAGATGAATCTAATGATAGTTGAATTATTAAAATCAACCTTGTAGATCACAAGATATCTTCAAAAAATATTTTGCTAACTATGTAAACTTCTCTTTCAACTATTGTTAAAAGAGAAGTTTATATAGTTGCAAAACATTTTTGAAGATATCTTGTGATCTACAAAGCTGATTTTAATGATTTAACTACCATTAGATTCGTCTTAATGAGCTTTACAACTTTAATTAAAGGCTTAAAAGTAATTAACTTAGTATAAAAAAGTTTTAGATAGAAGCAGCTCATATTCTAAAAACTCTAAAATTTTATGTAACTCTAAATCATGTGAGTGGACAGACAGAAAATACAAAATTACTTTTTTGATATTTTAATATATGATGCATCAAAAAAATAATTTTTGTATCATAATGCATAGAAATAAATGGTCTGTCACTTCATTCCAGACAATAAACTTGGTGCAATTTTTTTAAAATTTTACTTATACTTGTTGCATGTATATTTTACAAAATATTTGCACATTAAGAAAAGTTCTTGCATATGTGCACCTTGTACAAGCCAATTTTAAACACTGGTCAGAACCAGACCAAACTTTTCACCCTAATGTTAACATTACACATTTAATCTCACACATATGTATAACAATAATGCTTTCTCCTGTTCTATAGTGCAACAGCTAAAAAGTCAATGTTAGCTTTTTTAATAAAATGAAAAAATATTTTAGCGTAATAGAAAGAATTATCAATTTATTAGTAAAGCAGAAAAAAAATTCTCTGCTGATTTTTTTGATAATAAAAGAATGCTTTACAGTAGCCTACCATATTATTGTAAACATTTTTTAAAAAATTATATAGAGCTAAATATAAAAGATATTAAACTTAAAAATAAATTATAAATTCTTTAAATCTATATATTTTAAATAAAAAAAAGTTTAAAAAATTTTATGCTACAGTTTTTAAAATAATTAAATTTAAGTAAAATTTTAGATTTTTACATTTGACTAGTTTTTTTTTTTTTAATCTTCAAAGGTGAGGCCATTTGACTAGTTTTTATTATTATATAAAATTAATTAAAATAATAACTATATAGTAAAAGTCAAATTTTTATTAAGTTAATTAAATTTCAAAAAATTATTCAGCATAACAAATTATTTATAATTTTGAATTTTTATAAAATTTTAAAAAATATTTAAGTTAGTTATTATTTTTAAATATAATAACTAAATTATTTAATTTAAAATTAGATTAATAAATTTGTAACCACAGTTACTATAACTGCATCCAATAAAGCCAATCAAATTTTAAGATCAGGTATAATATGAAATCAAAACAAAAAAATTTTTTTAAAAAAATCGTTAATAACTCAAAATTTTGATTATGAAACCATTCTTTATAGCCTAACAAAAAAAATTCTTGCAAAATTTTGATATAAACTAGTTCTTTCCTATTTCTAGCCTCATCCTAACCCTAACCTTAATTGCAAAGTTTTTTTTATAAAAACAATTGGTTTAATAATTATATTACATCTAATCTTAATTCCAGTTACTGTAACCTATAGTTACAAAACAATTAATTCTATAAAATTAATAAATTTTCAAATATAGTAATTTTATTACTATATATAGAAATTTACTAAATATTTTTTAAAAATTATAAAACTTTTAAAATATATGTAATTTGTTATACCAAATAACTTTATTTAAAAAAAATTACTAGTCTATTGATAAAAAAATTAAGTTTATATATTGCTATATTTAGAAATTTTAGTTACTATTAAAACTATATTAAAATTTAGAAAACCAGTCAAATATAAAAATTTAAAATTTTATTTAAACTTAATTATTTTAAAAACTGTAGCATAAAATTTTTAAAACTTTTTTTGTTTGAAAGATATAGATTTAAAGAATTTATAATTTGATTTTTAGTTTAATAGTTTATATATTTAGCTCTGTATAAATTTTTAAAAAGTGTCTACAATAATATAGTAGACCACTGTATATATACTTTTTCCAATTCCAATTTTGTAATCTTAACAATATCCAACATTACATGTTCCTTCAGCATGCTCCATGTTAGCACTTTAGATAATAAACAAATGCCTTATGTTAATCTTTTTCAATGCCAGTTTCAAATAAAATAACATCTTTCAAACATCATATATTCACAACGTCCTATTTCTGATTTTTGATATCTTATATTCATCCTTTTCAGTGCCAGTTTCATTAAAATAAAAACTTCTAATATCATATGTTCTACAAGCATACTATATTCAAATCTTTTTCAATTACAATTTTATTATTATATATAACAGTCGCCAAGTTTGAATATTCTTCTACTATTACCAAATTTAGTTATATTAAATATATATAAGTATATGCACTCATATGCCTATATGCATGCACAATATTGCCCAGTGGTATTTTCTTGCAGACCTTTTGTAATTTAAGCTGTGAGAATCTATTTATTATATAAAATCAACTAAAACAGCACAGGTTAATAACAATGCACAATAAGAAAAGTGAATATGCAATACTTATTAGTATATTTACAGAAAAAACCTCAAAAAATGTATAATATCAGAATGATATTTTATATAAAAATAAGAGGATAAGATTGTTATATCAAAAGATGCTACAAAAATATAACATTACTTTAATAAAAAGCCTATACAATAGTAAAGGCAATATCTAATACAATGGTAAAGACGGCTCAAAATACAATAGTAAAGGTAGCTCAAAACACAATGATAAAGGCAGCTCAAAACACAATAGTAAAGGTGGCTCAAAACACAATAGTAATAATAATAGCCAACACAATAGTAAAGGCATATGTAAAAGTGTGTTATAAAAAGTTTTTTTTTAAAAAAATAAGTGACTCGTGATTATTCAAATAAAAGTTATAAAATTATATCTCCATTACAAATCAGCAAATAATAAAAATCATAAAATTACAAAAAAAAAAATAGTAGTTTGTAATCGTGAAAAAAAATAAATAAGAAATTGAGAAAGCCACAAAAGAAATATACAACTCTTTTAATAAAACCAAACAAGAAATATGTTAATATAAACAAAAAAATCTATCTATTAGTATTGATTAACTTGCTAAAAAATACAGTTGTGATTGGAGCACAATTTCAAAAATTTGAAAGAAAGTAAAAAGTGGTTGTCTATACAACTAGCAGAAGCTGAAGAAAATAAAATAGTTAACTGCATAGCAAAGTTTGTGGAGTTAGAAACTGCTTTACATATTTAGATATAGCAGATTCTTTTGCAAAATGGAATAATAACTAATGAGATTCTACAAATTTAAGCCAAAAAATTTGCAAGATTATTAAATATCAGTGAAAAAGATTTTAAAGCAAGTACAGGTTGGTTAGATAGGTTTAAAAAATGGAATGATATTTAAATATTCAAGATCTAAGGAGAATCTGAAAGTGCATCTACTGCAAACCTTCCTGAATATAGACAGAAATTGGTTGAATTACTCTCACAATACTAGCCAAAAGATGTCTAAAATGTAGATGAAAATAAAATGGTTAACCATTCAACAAAGTTTGTGAAGTTAGAAACTGCTTTACATATTTGAATACGGCAGATTCTTTCACAAAATAGAATAATAACCGATGAGATTTTACAAATTTAAGCCAAAACTTTGCAAGATTATTAAATGTTAGTGAAGAAGATTTTAAAGCAAGTACAGGTTGGTTAGATAGGTTTAAAAAACAAAATGATATTCGAAGATTCAAGATCCAAGGAGAATCTGAAAGTGTGCCTACTGCAAACCTTCCTGAATATAGACAGAAATTGGTTGAATTACTCTCATAATACTAGCTAGAAGATGTCTATAATG